TGGCGTGAACGCACGAGGACTACGAACGGAGAGCGTCGGTCGTGGGTGTTTCCGCGACTGTCTACGGTGTGAAGGACGGGCGTCATGGAGCGACTGTTAGGGCCTTCCCACACTTAAATACGTGGGCCGCCGTTTTTATGACGTACGTCAACGTACTCTTTTTGAATTCAACGTATTCAAATACGAATCCGCACTCTAGATCCGACTAAAGCCTTAAGCCGGTTGTGCAAGCTATTTTTTTTATAATAATAATACCAGGTACTGGCATGCATTTCAGCATTTTATCAATTTATGCACTAATCAGTCACACAGTCACCACGAATTTTGCACACGTGTCCCAGTGATAAGTGGTGACACATTATATTGTATAGTAGGTTAGCCGTCGTTGAACCAATGGGCAGGGCCGTCCTGACGATTTGCTGGGCCCAGGGCAGAGTAAATTTGCGGGGCCTAAAATGTCATTATCGTCAGTTGACAGTTGCATATATTTAAATATTTAATATTATGATATATACGATATACTTAGGTATAAGGGGCCAAGGGGGCTACTCGCAAATATACTTAAAAATATAGTACCTTGTACCTACTTACAATAATATGAATAAGTAAATTAATTAATAACAAAACACGTAATATATTTAAATTTAATATAATAATATTGATAAATCAATAAGTAGGCATATAATATAATATGAATAAAGGTGGACATGGGGGGGGGGTGTACAAAATTGTATTTTGCTTGTACAAAATTGTACATAAAATAGTACATAATACTGTCAACTTTTGGTATTAAAATTCGAAAGTGGCAGTGCTGGCGCAATGACGAAATATTTTATTTATAAAAAAGGAAAAGTAGGTGTCAAGTGTACCAAATCGATCATTCAAAAAGTTTGAAAATTGATGAAAATGTTTAGGTAAAATGTTCAATTTTTATAGCTAAGGGTTGAAAATTAAAAACAATGTTTTTCATAAATATTTTATACTGTAGGTAACCAAAAAATCTAAGAAATATATAAATAACATTTATTTAATAGACATACTTTTAAGTATGTTGACGAAATTAGATATTTAAAGTTTAAACACTTTTTTAGTTAGGTACCTATTTTGTTGCAATTTAAAAATATTATTCGGGAGTTATTGAAACTTTTTAAGTATATCAGTACCTCCAGTATGACTTATAGTAAAACTCGATCAATATCGAATAATTTTTAACTATTAATAAAATTTCCACTTGTAAATAAAAATGTAGAATTGAAGCAATGCATTTACCAAGTTCACACTTCAATCAAGATTTTTTAAATGTTTTTTACAAGACCGCCGCTAGCGAACCACCCGTCTGAACAGGTCTATTGAAAAAGCATTGTTTAATTTTAAAGAGCGGAAGCTGTCGACCGCTCGAAAATTAAACAAGAGCGGTCGCAGGCGGCCAATCTCGAGGATCAGAGGCGCGTTTTTTCCCGTGTGAATATGTCAATTGAATAACCCGTGTCAGCGGTTATCCGCTGCGGATAAAAACCGCGACCGCTTGCGGCCAAACCGCTCCGTGTGTTGCCAGTGTATGGAATAGTTTACCATAAAATCGGAATAGTTTACCACCGAATACGCTTACATACCATCATATACATTAATTCGGGACTGTCATTAAGACATGCATTTGTACTAAAAAACGTACCGGCTCCGACGCCCTTAACAGGACTACGTCTACGCGCATGTGTCGTCTCTATCTACGAAATTTTTACCACATAAAAAGGAGAACTTCGGCTGTGCAATGTCGTTTTTATTTTTTCGATATCAGAACCACAATCAATGTTATTCAAGTTCTAAATTCACAAACAATAATAGATTTTGATACAGTGAGAACTTTTTTCGTATAAGTAATACCAAAAAAATAAAACATAGTTGTAGCACAGCCAAAGTTTTTCATGATGAAAATTTAATTTCTTAGTTTTTACTGTAGCCTTTTCGGATCTTTTCGGCCCAAAACAGTTTTTGCCATGTGGTACGAGTGTAAAACAGACACTACACATGCGAGTATAACGTCCTCAGTAGTATGAAATAGTCGATTCTGCACCCCCTCCCACCCTAATCACCATGTGCGCTTCCATCCCCCCCACTCCCCCACCTACACTGCCCCTCCCTGAGCTTCTCACTCCTCCCCACTCCACCGTCACCTCATGCATTACTCCGCCACCCCCCACCCCTCCCGCACCTGAACTACGTCATCCCTCTCCTCCTACGTCATCGTGGACCCCACCAGCGCCTATATATATAATATATATACGTATATACTCTATACATACTATAGTATATACCTATATATAGTATATACCCAAGTATATACTCTAAGCATAGTTTAGTATATATCTATATATAGTAGTATCATAACATACTACTTAGCTGTTCTCGCATTCCTCTCTCTTTCCCACCCACACACTCCTCGTATATAATATATATATATATAATTATATATAAATGAATTGCTGTTCGTTTGTCTCGCTAAAACTCGAGAACGGCGGGACTGATTTCGCTAAAATTTTTTTTTAAGATGTTCGTAATTGCCAGGAGAAGATTTATACAAAAGAAAATTTTAGGAAAATCAACCGGAAAAGTAGGAAATCTGGATGAAAAAAATACAACAGTGTATTATAATTTATATTGGTTGCTATTGGTTAATCGCCAATCGGGCATGTTTGTTAATTTGTATTTTGTTTTTTGTCAATATAAATAATTGAATGTTTGTGTGTAGATTAAACCTCTGGGAAGAAGGCAGGCTAATTTAAAAATGGTTAAATTTGGTTTTTTTTTATTCATCTGATATTAGTACTGTTAGGATTTTGTATTAACTAATTATATTAATCCACCATTAGGTGGAATACAACAAACTTGGTATAACTTTGATACTTTAGACTTAAATCATTCATTTACGTACAAACATCAAGGGGTCCGCGATCTACAGCAGGTAGATTGCCTACCTGATAATATACTGCTGCGAATCAGAATTATTATTATTATCTCGGCCAACGGAAGATTTAAGATAAATTTTGAACACCATACACTGAATATTAAATAACGAATTGAACAAAGATTGAGTCATATAGATTTGGTACATTTAACGGGTAACGAAGTACACGGGATCAGTTAAAACTATATTTTACTCGCTAGACATAAGCGGACATTTGGTGAAATTACGGGGGGGGGGGCTGAGTATTATATGCTTATTACAACTATAAGTACCACTGTACAGTGGCGCCGAAGTTTTTAAAATGTGGTCGGGCAATTTTAAAACTTCCCGGCCTCAATATCTTAATTATTTAATATAGAGGTACCCTAATATAAATTTATTCATAATCACGGTTTAAATTTACTCATGCTTATAATAAAGTTATGATGTAAATTAAATATGGCCGGCCGGCCACATTTTTCAAAAAGAGCCGCTCGCAATTATTTATTTCAACAAGACAATTTACAAAGTTCGACATACTAAACAATTTGACCATAATTAAGTGTTATCTAATGTATAAAGTACATTGTGTACAATAATTGTCATGTACACCTATATTTTTTTCTGAGTTTTGCGCCCCATGGCCTGGGGTCTCGTTAAGCCTTTGTTACAGTTCTGCGCGTCATAATTATACATTGGTTATAGGTATGACGTATGAATATAATACATACCTAACAGTCCTAACCTTCATTATAATACACAGTATATTATTTTAACACGTTCAACGCCGCCAGTGATTTCAAAAACGATGAAAATAACAAACTAAAACTACCATAACCTGAAGTTTAGAGTTTATAGTCAATGGCCTATTTAAGTTTCAGAGTTTATTAAAAAAAAATCGATTTAATTATAGCGTATATAAACGTATACGTATTTGACGCGTTAACGCGTCCCGGCCTGTTGGAATAAACTGTTGAAGAGTACCCAGAAAGCAATTTTTTGTTTAAAAATATTATAACATTATAATAACAAATAATATTAGTGAAATGATAATGTATACAAAAAACCACACTAAAACACTTTCAACGCCGCTGACGCGTAATATAAGGAATATACGCGTCAGCATTGTTAAGTGGTTTTTTGTATATATAGTATCATTTTACAGTATTTCCATTTGTCACGCGTACCTTATCCAAATAATTATTATACCTACTTAATTTTGCTGCAACCACAATTCTGTTCAGTATTATTTAACTAGTAACCGGTGAAAATTTAATATCGTGTCGTCGCAAGTAATTATTATCGTCGTCACTGTATCAACGCAAGTGTGGATTTTAAATAATTTCAATAAACGAATACATTGCACTCTTATAATACGCCTGTATTCGATATTTTAATATTATTTAATTGGTTAAATTAGTTTTTTTCTTTACCTCTCCAGTCTCAACATGGTCAGTACCAATAGCAATCAGTGCGAGTTATAAGAGTGAGTAAAATTATTTATATTATACACAGCAACTATTTTAATAATAAAGGCTCGTTTTTATATTCTTGTATAGTATATATAAATATACCTAATATACAGAGTCGGATCTTAGCTTTTTAACACCCGGGGAAAGTTAAAAAAATTTTACGAAAATTTTACGAATTACAGGACATACGACGGCAAATTCTTTAGTTTCCAAAGATCTTGCTAATATCAGTTGAGTGCGGATTGCGTGGGCCAGACCTTCGACATTCGGGTGATTAACTACCCGAGGAACACGAAAAATTCAGCGTGGACCAAAACTATTTTTTTGAAGGTAAAATTATTGTAATTTATTATTGCGTGTTCACGTTATAACGATGATATTTTGTGAAAACTTCGTATCGAAAGTGACAGTATAGGTTGAGCTAAAAAATAATTGATATATTATTATGTAATTATTTAACACGTATTTTGTCAACGCAGACCGGAGGTTTGATAGTAAACCTTGGCGAAAATAAACGGATCCAGGTCAATACACAGAGAGTGTCTGTGCTGTACAGGTGGAGGAACGAGCTCACCATATTATCCAACATGAACGACACCGTATTGGTTGAGATCAAGATTGGCGTTTCCATCATTTGGGAGGATTTCAGCAAGTGTCCATACCTTCGATGTACAAAGGTAAGGAAATTCGCCAAACCGTCCTAGAGAATATTATATAATAAATAAACTACAATGACGTCGGTTCCCAAATATAATATTAATTCAATGGTTCTCTCACCAAGTAATCACGCCTTCCTCGTCCACAGTTTAGGAACCACCTATATAATGATGATTTTGAGAAAATTATTTTACTTACAAACTTTACATTTTTCGGTATTTACAGGAAGTCTCATTGCACTGTCACCGCCTTGATGTGGTGCTGGTCTGGAGCCAGTTCTTGATGTGTGGCATCCGGTTATGGGCCAAGAAGGATGGGTCACGCATCAAGGAGGAGACAGTTGTGCGCGTACCTACGCCGACACGCCGTCATCGCATCGCAACACTCATACCTTTGATCATCGACGGTACGGACCCTTATAGAAATCCTGGCAAATCCCAAATGATGGAAAAGCCAATCCTGGTCTCAACCAATACGGTGTAGTTCATGTTGGATATGGTGAGCTCGTTTTTCCATCTGTACGGCACAGACACTCTCTGTCCATTGCCCTTGATCCGTTTATTTTCGCCAAGGTTTACTCTCAAACCTCCGGTCTTCAAAAAAAGAGTTTTTGTCCACTCTGAATTTGTCGTGTTCCACGTGTCGTTAATCACCCGAATTTCAAAGGTCTGGCCCACGCAATCCGCACTCAACTGATATTTGCAAAGTCCTTGGAAACTAAATAATTGTCTTTCGTATGTCCTGTAATGTGAGACACCATTCACCAAACACCGTGCACACCCCGTCCACTGAAACGAAAACAATATTTAGTTATGTTATATTATAATCTGTACATTCTTTTATATTATCAGTCTATTGTAAACACTAGCGAATTGAAACAAATCGGTAAAATTATCGATGTGTCGCTGCCGGACTGTAGGGCCATGACCGGATGCCACAATGGTGCTATTGTCATAATAAACTTGAACGTATATAATATATCCCAGGTAGCATTTTGTTATGATAATATTATTATATATTTTATTATTATAAGTTAAGATATAAGACTAGTTAAGATTTTTAAACAAAAAAATTTCTTTTAAATTTCATTATATGTTTTGATTTAATATATGATTCTACATATTATATGGATCACACCAAAAAAATTTAAATGTATCAGTTATACTGTAACTAAATAATTATATTGATATAACAATCACTAATCATCGGGTTATTTCAAATAATTATTTTAGAATATTGTCGTAAGTGCGATTGCCATTGAAATCATATTTTGTATTGTTACATACTTACATTACTATTGTTTTGCATAAGGGTTAGATAAAGTTAGTTATTAATTGATCAATAGTCTGGCTCGAATAGCCAATGATTTTTATTAATTATTTTCTCTTAACTTGTATTATTGTTGTATGTAAATTGTCAAATTATTATACCAGCTGTACTCCAATACGCTGTGAGTTTTATTTGTTCTAGATATTGTTATTTAACATATTTATATTTATTATTATTGGTTGTGCCAAACTGGCAATTTATCCACAATTTAATTATTTTACTTAGGTATTGTTTTACCTGTTGGACCAAAAATGTCTTGTTCTTATTTTTTCTAGGAGTCTATAAGTTAGATTTGTTATTATTGACTTATTTTTAAGTTGATTAATTAATGTTATAATAGTAGTTCTAAATGTAATATCCTATTTGAGTTATAGTTTCTTTATCAGAATTACCTATTTGTAGGGATCAAAATGCCGGAAAATTTCGGAAAAAACCGTTTTTTTTCCCAGAGCCTTGGAAAACGTGGAAAAATAGTAGAATATTAAAATAATACATTTCCGAAAAAAAACGAAGTAAAAAAAGCGGGTAAGTGGATGTCGCTCTGCTGTACAGTAGGTTACAAGTGGGTCATTGTACAGTAGGTCAAAATCCTATCTAAAAAAAGGGTGGGCAAGTCGGTTTTACTCTGCAATACAGTAGGTTACAAGTGTTTGACTGTAATGGGATATTGGATTGTATTTAATTTGAATTCAATGATATAATATCATTGTATAAGAAAAACGATTCTGAGCGAAAACGGTCAGTCAGCCTATGATATTACTTATAAGTATAGGTATTTGATGATATTATTGTGAATAAAGTAATTTATATTATACCTATACCTATTTACGTGGAACCTTGTTTTAACAAGTGCAGACGGTTTGTCAGTCTAGATATTTTATATTGTTATTAGTTATTATATCATGTAAGTTGAATTAATATTATTATATCATTATTTTTTTATTCATTTCTATGGTAATAAACAAAGCGTTTATATTTTTCGGTGGTTTTTACCGTAGCATTAAATAACTAATGATAAAATCGAAAAATGACCTCTTTAAAGTACCATCTTGCTCCAATTTGCTAAAAGATAAGGTACTATATGTTGAAATCGAAGATTTCCTTCTGGTATAAATTTTGTATACAGGATAAAAAAAAACAAAAAAACAAAAAAACAAAACAAAAAATAAACACCATTGTAAAACCACTAGCTTCCTCGTATGTATACTGTTTTACATGTCTACATGGAACGTAAAAAAATACAATTAAATCAGTTACTTAAATTCACATAAAATGTAATTGAAACTTACATAAAAACTACATATTAATTACTATTATTACGTGGTATAGAAAAATTTGTTTAAACGGCTCACTTAAAACCCAACGATATATAAATCGGAAAAAACACTATTCAGGTGACAACTAATATTAAGTTTATAAAATACATCAATAATTTTAACATCTATGGTGAATATAATGTTAGAATTATAGGGACATTTTAGAATTAATTATAAAAAAGCGTTTAAAAGAGTGTTTTTTCAGTGGCTAAATAAATCTTAATATTCCTAAAATCATGTTTCCGCGTGTAAATATTATACCTCAGATCGAGATTAAATAAAATTATGACAATGATAATTCAAAAAATAATATTATAATATTATTTTTTATATATATATACCTAGTTCTTAACAGAATAATAATTTAGAAAATTAGTCTTACATGTAATGAACAACTAAATTGGTAAAACATTGATGGTAACTGGTATGTTTTATATCTACATAATAGGTATTTAAATGTGTACCTATTATTGTCAATTTTATTAAAATAATATTATATATAGCCATATAGGTACATATATATAAAGCGTGACTTAAATCGTGACTACCCTAATGCCATTTCCTTAAATAAATGTATGATAGTGTAAATTGTATTTGTTTACTTACATGAGTACATGACGTGTTGTCAGTTCTTATTGCTAAAATCTTTATTTACAGTTAGCAAGTTGCTTCTTACGATGTTTTAAATTTTAAAAAATACTTAAAAATATATTAAGAAGTTAAATTCAACTATACGACTTATAGTTTAAGAATTTAGATGTAGGGCATTAACCACTTATACTTGGTATATTTAATATTATTATATTATTATACCTACTATAATACTTATATTATTAAAATATAGTTATTACTTAGGCAAAAATATATATACAACTATTTTGGGTCGTTTTAAAATCGTCGAACTAAAATAATGGTAACTAGATTGTGTAATGCACTAAAAGACATATTATAATAAATATCGAAAATATATAAACATTAAACATAATAATAATATGGTACCTTTCTGGTACGACAAATAATTTTATACAATAAATAAACTGCCCTGTGTTGCTGGTAAAAATATACAAAAATAATAATATAGTATTGTACCTAGCTCACACTTCACAGCAACACGGAAATGTATAACAATAATATTTGACTCACGTTTTACAAGTGGAAGTGGAGCACAGCTGGCTAGTCCCGTCCCTATCCTAGAATAATGATATTGAGAACATCGGAAATAAAAAATAATACACAGTAGCCCTTAGCACATACTAAAAACAATATAATTTTAAATACCTAATATATATAAATGCACACCATGCTCTTACAATTAATAATAAAAAATGCGGCGATATAAAAAATAATAATATTTAGCTATTTGCCCTCACAAAAACAACAATATATGGCGATTAGCACCCTTGATTATGCAACATAATATTATAAGCTCACGATTTAAGCACACCGAAAAATTAATATAACTTTCACATGATTATAAAGAGGTGACGATTCGCGCCCACACAGTAAATATAATAAAAAAACAATATTGGCAATTCGTGCCTAAGCAATATATAATACAAAAACGGCGATTTGCTCACTTAAAAACAACAATATTAATTTAACGGCGATTTGGGTCACACAGAATTAGTGCGAGTCCTTGGACATGATTTTGCGGACTGAGGACGGGTGGCACCGTATTAAATTTGCATACCGATGGACCGACGGCGGCTGATAACGCCCCGTTTGTCCGGGTGTAATCTACGCTATTATATAATTCCTACACAACAAGAAAAGGTACAAAAATAAGACAATATGCAATAACGAATATGTGTTTGTGTGTGTATGTGTGTCGGTCAGCGGAATATATTATACTATAGTGCAGCTTTTCTCAACTTTTTTTCATTTACGTACCCCTTGACCTCTCACCACTGCTTTACGTACCCCCAAATGTCAATTTATTATATATTCACACACAACACAAATAAGATATTATGAAATAAGTTCGATGATGGAAAATTTTAAAATAATATTTATTAATTAATTTAATTAGCCATACAATGTACGTATATATATAAAAGTAATATACATTTTAAAATTTAATTTTCATGAGACCCTTAGGCTTGTTTGCTGGCACATAATTTTTTGAAATCTGGCTCCTCGGATGATAAGTAAACTCGTAAATCTGAACTCACAGAGAGTCTATTACGATACGTCTTATTATTAATGTACGTATACGACGAAAAGGCCCTCTCCATCAATACAGTACTCGTAAACGGCAGCAGAACATTAAATGCTTTGTTTGAAAGCTCAGGATACTCTTATTTTACGTCAGCCCAAAAAGCGATTAGAGATTTTTTTCAAATATTAACTCAAGTGAAGAATTCGTCTTCAGTTCAATAAGTTTTTCTTTTGGTTAAAATGGTTAATGGATTTTTAATAGACAAATGATTGACATTGTATTGAACAACTTTACGTAACCCAATAAGATAAAATCCAGTATCCAGCTGTGCCACATTATTAAATATTTCACAAATTACAAACCATTTAAAATACACCAATTGTAATTTTTTCCGATATTACGCTTTTTTTTTACGTACCCCCTTATACCGTCTTACGTACCCCCAGGGGTACGCGTACCACAGGTTGAGAAACGCTGCAGTATAGTGAGTATAATTACAAGCAAGTGGCGGTGACGGCGGATACCTACTAAATCATTGAATTAAAATTAAGAGGACGTGATACCCGCATGTGTTGTCTCCGTCTTTACAAGTGCGTAGCATAGCAAATTATACGCAAAGCAGAACACGTGTAGCTCCGTTAACTTAAAAATTAGAGTAAACTGACCTCTTATAAAATCTA